TCATCAGCAGCATCACCAACATCATCAACATCATCATCATCACCTTCATCAGCACCATCATCAGCATCATCATCATCAGCAGCATCACCATCATCAGCATCATCATACTCAGCATCATCATCAGCATCATCAGCAGCAGCATCATCATCAGCATCAGCATCATCAGCAGCAGCATCACCATCATCAGCACCATCATCAGGATCATCATCATCATCAGCAGCATCACCATCATCATCATCAGCATCATACTCAGCATCATCATCAGCATCATCATCATCACCATCATCAGCATCATCACCAGCAGCACTATCATCAGCATCATACTCGGCATCATCATCAGCATCATCACCATCATCATCATCAGCAGCAGCACCATCATCAGCATCATACTCAGCATCAGACTCAGCATCATCAGCATCATCATCACCATCATCAGCATCATCATCATCAGCAGCACCATCATCAGCATCATACTCAGCATCATCATCACCATCATCAGCATCATCAGTATCATCATCACCATCACCATCATCAGCATCATCACCATCATCAGCATCATCATCAGCAAACAGAACCCACGGATCGATAGCAGCGAGGGGCAGGCGAGGGGCAGGTGCATTGGTGACCTGCATAGACGTGTAAGTGTGTGTGTGTTAGTGTGTGTGTTAGTGTGTGTGTTAGTGTGTGTGTTAGTGTGTGTGTTAGTGTGTGTGTTAGTGTGTGTGTATGTTAGTGTGTGTGTGTGTGTTAGTGTGTGTTAGTGTGATAGCGTGTGTTAGTGTGTTAGTGTGTGTGTGTGTTAGTGTGTGTGTTAGTGTGTGTGTATGTTAGTGTGTGTGTGTGTGTTAGTGTGTGTTAGTGTGATAGTGTGTGTAAGTGTGTGTTAGTGTGTGTTAGTGTGTGTGTTAGTGTGTGTATGTTAGTGTGTGTGTGTGTGTTAGTGTGTGTTAGTGTGTGTGTTAGTGTGTGTTAGTGTGTGTTAGTGTGTGTGTGTGTTAGTGTATGTTAGTGTGTGTGTGTCAGTGTGTGTGTGTGTAACAACTACAGGGGCATCTCACTCCTCAGTGTGCCGGGAAAGGTCCTGGCAAGGATTATTCAGCATCGCCTTGCCAGGAACGCTGAGGAGAGGCTTGCGGAGCCCCAATGCGGTTTCAGGAAAGGGCGGTCCTGCACAGATGCCATATTTTCTGTCCGTCTGCTACAGCAGAGGTGTAGGGAATTCCAACAAGACCTACATCTCTGCATTATTGACCTGGTCAAGGCCTATGATACCATCAGTAGGCCTGGGCTCTGGGTCGTTCTTCGTGCTTTTGGAGTACCTGACCCTCTGCTCACGATCATTAAGGACCTTCATGATGGTGAGCGGGCCCGGGTAAAACTACGTGGCCGGGAGTCAGAGCCATTCCCTGTACACCTTGGGGTGCGACAGGGATGTCCTCTGGCTCCCACATTATTTAACATCTATTTTGACCACGTAGTTCGTGAAGCCTTCAATAGCTGTAGCGGGGGAATCTCCATATGGTACAGATATAATGGGAGGCTAATCGATGCCCGGGTGCGGTCAAGGGATGGCTCCCTATTGCTCAACCACGTTATGTATGCTGATGATTTGGTAATAGCTGCTCAGTCAGAGGAGGAGTTGGAGACGCTGCTGCTGAGACTGGAGCGTGCCACTAAGAGGTGGGGCCTTACCATCAGCCCCACCAAAACTAAGCACCTGCCTGGGTATTTTGTACCATCGGACACTCCACCCCCACAACTCCCAATCGGTGATGGGGCAGTTGTGGAGAGAGTGGAGAGTTTCCCATACCTGGGCAGTGTGCTTATGACTGGCTCCAGTTTAACAGCAGAGGTCTCACTCCGAATCAGTCGAGCGGCAATATCTTTTCATCGGTTGCGTAACGCTGTGTGGAAGCTACCTGGTCTGTCGCTCCGCACTAAGCTTCAGGTCTTCTCGGCCACGGTCATTCCCTCCCTTCTCTACGCTTGCGAAACGTGGACCCCCCTAATGGAACATCTTCGCCGGTTAGAAACATTTAGGCTGGGCTGCCTACGATCCATCCTGGGTTTAACCAGACTGGATTGTGTGAGGAGCTCACAAATCCTTGAAAGATCTGGGCAGGGTCCCATCGGTGAGCTCCTCCGGCAGGCAAGGCTGCGATGGCTGGGTCATGTAGCCCGCATGCCCAGCCACCGCATGCCGAAACAGCTTTTGTTTGGCCGGATTGAGGGGGCTAAGCGGGCGCGGCACGGGCTAGAGAAGAGATGGAGTGATGTGGTACAGGAGGACGTGGAGCTGAGTGGACTTGCCGATGACTGGTACCAGCGGTGTCAAGATCGGCCTCTGTGGAGGAGGCTCGTGAAGGATGCTACTGGGCAGTTGGAGGCAGTCGCCCTCCAACAACAACGGAGGGCGGAGGAGCGACGCTCACAACAGCGAGCGGAGCGCCGGGTGGCTAAAGCACAGCAGGTTGGCACAGTAGGGGGCACAGGTGGTGCATCAGCCGGTCATCTCAGTCAGTCGACCCGTGGCACCTGGGTCTGCCCCGTGACCTCCTGCCAGCGGGCGTTCGACACTTCACGTGGCCTCAGGGTGCACGTAGCCTGGCACAAGCGTCGTGGTGACGTCACCGCCACTTAGTGGCGAATGGCGGTTGTTGTGTGTGTTAGTGTGTGTTAGTGTGTGTGTGTTAGTGTTAGTGTGTGTGTTAGTGTATGTTAGTGTGTGTGTGTCAGTGTGTGTGTGTGTGTTAGTGTGTGTTAGTGTGTGTGTTAGTGTGTGTCAGTGTGTGTGTCAGTGTGTGTGTGTCAGTGTGTTAGTGTTAGTGTGTGTTAGTGTGTTAGTGTTAGTGTGTGTTAGTGTGTTAGTGTGTGTGTATGTTAGTGTGTGTGTGTTTGTTAGTGTGTGTTAGTGTGTGTGTGTGTTAGTGTGTGTTAGTGTGTGTGTCAGTGTGTGTGTGTCAGTGTGTGTGTGTCTGTGTGTGTGTCTCTGTGTGCGTGTGTGTGACTGTGTGTGTGTCTGTGTGTGTGTGTGTGTTTTGAGTGTGTGTGTGTCTGTGTGTGTGTGTCTGGGTGTGTCTGTGTGTGCGATAGTGTAGCTGTTAGCGCTACGCTGCGCTATGAACCTGGCGACCCGGGTTCGATTCCCGCTCACGGCCAACACCAGTGACGATTATCTGAACCGGTCCCGGGCCTCCCCTAGGTCGACTCAGCCTCAAATGAGTACCTGGTGCGGTGTGCAAACATCGCCACTAGGGAGACAAAGGCGGTCGGGCGTGGTGCTGGCCACCCACCCCCTCGTGTACCGTTCCGGCCTTCATAGGTGCTCGCTAACAGCACTTGCCCCTACAGTCTGTTAAGGCTATATGGGGGATCTTTGTATCTTTGTCTGTGTGTGTCACTGTGTGTGTGTGTCACTGTGTGTGTGTGTACTGTGTGTCACAGTGTGTGTGTGTCACTGTGTGTCTGTGTGTGTCACTGTGTCACACAGTGTACTGTGTGACACAGTGTGTGTCACAGTGTGTGTGTCACACTGTGTGTGTGTGTGTCACAGTGTGTGTGTCACTGTGTATGTGTGTGTCACTGTGTGTGTCACTGTGTGTGTCACAGTGTGTCTGTGTGTCTGTGTGTCTGTGTGTGTGTCACTGTCACACAGTACACTGTGTCACACAGTGTACTGTGTGACACAGTGTGTGTCACAGTGTGTGTGTGTCACTGTGTGTGTCACTGTGTGTGTGTGTGTCACACTGTGTACTGTGTGTGTCACAGTGTGTGTCACAGTGTGTGTGTCACTGTGTATGTGTGTGTGTGTGTCACAGTGTGTGTACTGTGTGTATGTGTGTGTGTGTCAGTGTGTGTGTCACTGTGTGTGTGTGTACCGTGTGTCACTGTGTGTTTGTGTCACTGTGTGTGTACTGTGTGTATGTGTGTGTGTCACTGTGTGTGTGTGTCACAGTGTGTGTGTGTACTGTGTGTGTGTCACTGTGTGTGTCACTGTGTGTGTGTGTGTGTCACTGTGTGTGTCACAGTGTGTGTGTGTCACAGTGTATGTGTGTGTGTCACAGTGTGTGTGTCACTGTGTGTGTCACAGTGTGTGTGTGTATCTGTGTGTGTGTGTCTCTGTGTGTGTGTGACACACAGTGTGTGTGTGTCACTGTGTGTGTGTCACTGTGTACTGTGTGTCTGTGTGTGTGTGACACACAGTGTATGTGTGTGTGTCACTGTGTGTGTCACTGTGTGTCACAGTGTGTGTGTGTGTCACACACTGTGTGTGTGTACTGTGTGTGTGTGTCACTGTGTCACACACTGTGTGTGTGTCACACTGTCTGTGTGTCACACTGTGTGTGTGTCACACAGTGTGTGTGTGTGTCACAGTGTGTGTGTGTACTGTGTGTGTGCCACTGTGTGTGTGTGTCACACACTGTGTGTGTCACAGTGTGTGTGTGTCACAGTGTGTGTGTGTGTGTCGCTGTGTGTGTGTGTGTGTCACAGTGTGTGTGTGTGTGACACACAGTGTGTGTGTGTGTCACTGTGTGTGTGTGTCACACGGTCTGTGTGTGTGTGTCACTGTGTGTGTCACTGTGTGTGTGTCACAGTGTGTGTGTCACACGGTCTGTGTGTCACTGTGTGTGTGTCACACGGTCTGTGTGTGTCACTGTGTGTGTGTCACACGGTCTGTGTGTGTCACTGTGTGTGTGTCACACGGTCTGTGTGTGTCACTGTGTGTGTGTCACACGGTCTGTGTGTGTCACTGTGTGTGTGTCACACGGTCTGTGTGTGTCACTGTGTGTGTGTCACACGGTCTGTGTGTGTCACTGTGTGTGTGTCACACGGTCTGTGTGTCACTGTGTGTCACTGTGTGTGTGTCACACTGTGTGTGTCTCACTGTGTGTGTGTCACACTGTGTGTGTGTGTGTACTGTGTGTGTGTCACACGGTCTGTGGGTGTCTCACTGTGTGTGTGTCACTGTGTGTGTGTCACACGGTCTGTGTGTGTCTCACTCTGCTGTGCTGAACGCCGTGCTGAAGTTCAGCCTCCGCGTGGCCGGGCTTAGTGCTGAGAAGTCGAAGGCGTCTGGGTAGAAGTTGTGGACCAGGGCGCAGAAGGCGAGACCATCAACCCAGCTGGTGGAGAAGTTCTGAATGTCTACACCCTACAGAGGGAGGTGGTGAGTGTGGTGGTGAGTGTGGTGGTGAGTGTGGTGGTGAGTCTAGAAGTTGTGGACCAGGGCGCAGAAGGAGAGACCATCAACCCAGCTGGTGGAGAAGTTCTGAATGTCTACACCCTACAGAGGGAGGTGGTGAGTGTGGTGGTGAGTGTGGTGGTGAGTGTGGTGGTGAGTGTGGTGAGTGTGGTGGTGAGTCTAGAAGTTGTGGACCAGGACACAGAAGGCGAGACCATCAACCCAGCTGGTGGAGAAGTTCTGAATGTCTACACCCTACAGAGGGAGGTGGTGAGTGTGGTGGTGAGTGTGGTGGTGAGTGTGGTGGTGAGTGTGGTGGTGAGTCTAGAAGTTGTGGACCAGGGCGCAGAAGGCGAGACCATCAACCCAGCTGGTGGAGAAGTTCTGAATGTCTACACCCTACAGAGGGAGGTGGTGAATGGTGAGTGTGGTGGTGAGTGTGGTGGTGAGTGTGGTGGTGAGTGTGGTGGTGAGTGTGGTGAATGTGGTGGTGAGTGTGGTGGTGAGTGTGGTGGTGAGTGTGGTGGTGAGTCTAGAAGTTGTGGACCAGGGCGCAGAAGGCGAGACCATCAACCCAGCTGGTGGAGAAGTTCTGAACGTCCACACCCTACAGAGGGAGGTGGTGAATGGTGAGTGTGGTGGTGAGTGTGGTGGTGAGTGTGGTGGTGAGTGTGGTGGTGAGTCTAGAAGTTGTGGACCAGGGCACAGAAGGCGAGACCATCAACCCAGCTGGTGGAGAAGTTCTGAACGTCCACACCCTACAGAGGGAGGTGGTGAGTGGTGAGAGTGGTGGTGAGTGTGGTGGTGAGTGTGGTGGTGAGTGTGGTGGTGAGTGTGGTGGTGAGTCTAGAAGTTGTGGACCAGGGCACAGAAGGCGAGACCATCAACCCAGCTGGTGGAGAAGTTCTGAATGTCTACACCCTACAGAGGGAGGTGGTGAGTGTGGTGGTGAGTGTGGTGGTGAGTGTGGTGAGTGTGGTGGTGAGTGTGGTGGTGAGTGTGGTGGTGAGTGTAGTAGTGGTGAGTGTGGTGGTGAGTGTGGTAGTGGTGAGTGTGGTGGTGAGTGTGGTAGTGGTAAGTGTAGTGGTGGTGAGTGTGGTGGTGAGTGTGGTGGTGAGTCTAGAAGTTGTGGACCAGGGCGCAGAAGGAGAGACCATCAACCCAGCTGGTGGAGAAGTTCTGAACGTCCACACCCTACAGAAGGAGGTGGTGAGTGTGGTGGTGAGTGTGGTGGTGAGTGTGGTGGTGAGTGTGGTTCTGAGTCTAGAAGTTGTGGACCAGGGCACAGAAGGCGAGACCATCAACCCAGCTGGTGGAGAAGTTCTGAACGTCTACACCCTACAGAGGGAGGTGGTGAGTGTGGTGGTGAGTGTGGTGGTGAGTGTGGTGGTGAGTGTGGTGGTGAGTGTGGTGGTGGTGAGTGTGGTGGTGAGTGTGGTGGTGAGTGTGGTGGTGAGTGTGGTGGTGAGTGTGGTGGTGGTGAGTGTAGTGGTGAGTGTGGTGGTGAGTGTGGTGGTGAGTGTGGTGGTGAGTCTAGAAGTTGTGGACCAGGGCGCAGAAGGAGAGACCATCAACCCAGCTGGTGGAGAAGTTCTGAACGTCTACACCCTACAGAGGGAGGTGGTGAGTGTGGTGGTGAGTGTGGTGGTGAGTGTGGTGGTGAGTGTGGTGGTGAGTGTGGTGGTGAGTGTGGTGGTGAGTGTGGTGGTGGTGAGTGTGGTGGTGAGTGTGGTGGTGAGTGTGGTGGTGAGTGTGGTGGTGAGTGTGGTGGTGGTGAGTGTAGTGGTGAGTGTGGTGGTGAGTGTGGTGGTGAGTGTGGTGGTGAGTCTAGAAGTTGTGGACCAGGGCGCAGAAGGCGAGACCATCAACCCAGCTGGTGGAGAAGTTCTGAATGTCTACACCCTACAGAGGGAGGTGGTGAGTGTGGTGGTGAGTGTGGTGGTGAGTGTGGTGGTGAGTGTGGTGGTGAGTGTGGTGGTGAGTCTAGAAGTTGTGGACCAGGGCGCAGAAGGCGAGACCATCAACCCAGCTGGTGGAGAAGTTCTGAACGTCCACACCCTACAGAGGGAGGTGGTGAGTGGTGAGAGTGGTGGTGAGTGTGGTGGTGAGTGTGGTGGTGAGTGTGATGGTGAGTGTGGTGGTGGTGAGTGTGGTGGTGAGTCTATAAGTTGTGGACCAGGGCGCAGAAGGCGAGACCATCAACCCAGCTGGTGGAGAAGTTCTGAATGTCCACACCCTACAGAGGGGGGTGGTGAGTGTGGTGGTGAGTGTGGTGGTGAGTGTGGTGGTGAGTGTGGTGGTGAGTGTGGTGGTGGTAAGTGTGGTGGTGAGTGTGGTTGTGAGTGTGGTGGTGAGTGTGGTTCTGAGTCTAGAAGTTGTGGACCAGGGCGCAGTAGGAGAGACCATCAACCCAGCTGGTGGAGAAGTTCTGAACGTCCACACCCTACAGAAGGAGGTGGTGAGTGTGGTGGTGAGTGTGGTGGTGAGTGTGGTGGTGAGTGTGGTGGTGAGTGTGGTGGTGGTGAGTGTGGTGGTGAGTGTGGTTGTGAGTGTGGTGGTGAGTGTAGTGGTGAGTGTGGTGGTGAGTGTGGTGGTGAGTGTGGTTGTGAGTGTGGTGGTGAGTGTGGTTCTGAGTCTAGAAGTTGTGGACCAGGGCGCAGAAGGCGAGACCATCAACCCAGCTGGTGGAGAAGTTCTGAATGTCTACACCCTACAGAGGGAGGTGGTGAGTGTGGTGGTGAGTGTGGTGGTGAGTGTGGTGAGTGTGGTGGTGAGTGTGGTGGTGAGTGTGGTGGTGAGTGTAGTAGTGGTGAGTGTGGTGGTGAGTGTGGTAGTGGTGAGTGTGGTGGTGAGTGTGGTAGTGGTAAGTGTAGTGGTGGTGAGTGTGGTGGTGAGTGTGGTGGTGAGTCTAGAAGTTGTGGACCAGGGCGCAGAAGGAGAGACCATCAACCCAGCTGGTGGAGAAGTTCTGAACGTCCACACCCTACAGAAGGAGGTGGTGAGTGTGGTGGTGAGTGTGGTGGTGAGTGTGGTGGTGAGTGTGGTTCTGAGTCTAGAAGTTGTGGACCAGGGCACAGAAGGCGAGACCATCAACCCAGCTGGTGGAGAAGTTCTGAACGTCTACACCCTACAGAGGGAGGTGGTGAGTGTGGTGGTGAGTGTGGTGGTGAGTGTGGTGGTGAGTGTGGTGGTGAGTGTGGTGGTGAGTGTGGTGGTGGTGAGTGTGGTGGTGAGTGTGGTGGTGAGTGTGGTGGTGAGTGTGGTGGTGAGTGTGGTGGTGGTGAGTGTAGTGGTGAGTGTGGTGGTGAGTGTGGTGGTGAGTGTGGTGGTGAGTCTAGAAGTTGTGGACCAGGGCGCAGAAGGAGAGACCATCAACCCAGCTGGTGGAGAAGTTCTGAACGTCCACACCCTACAGAAGGAGGTGGTGAGTGTGGTGGTGAGTGTGGTGGTGAGTGTGGTGGTGAGTGTGGTGGTGAGTGTGGTTCTGAGTCTAGAAGTTGTGGACCAGGGCACAGAAGGCGAGACCATCAACCCAGCTGGTGGAGAAGTTCTGAACGTCTACACCCTACAGAGGGAGGTGGTGAGTGTGGTGGTGAGTGTGGTGGTGAGTGTGGTGGTGAGTGTGGTTCTGAGTCTAGAAGTTGTGGACCAGGGCACAGAAGGAGAGACCATCAACCCAGCTGGTGGAGAAGTTCTGAACATCCACACCCTACAGAGGGAGGTGGTGAATGGTGAGTGTGGTGGTGAGGGTGGTGGTGAGTGTGGTGGTGAGTGTGGTGGTGAGTGTGGTGGTGGTGAGTGTGGTGGTGGTGAGTGTGATGGTGGTGAGTGTGGTGGTGAGTGTGGTGGTGAGTGTAGTGGTGAGTGTAGTGGTGAGTGTGGTGGTGAGTGTAGTGGTGAGTGTGGTGGTGAGTGTGGTGGTGAGTGTGGTGGTGAGTGTAGTGGTGAGTGTAGTGGTGAGTGTGTTGGTGAGTGTAGTGGTGAGTGTGGTGGTGAGTGTGGTGGTGGGTGTGGTGGTGAGTGTGGTGGTGAGTGTGGTGGTGAGTGTGGTGGTGAGTGTAGTGGTGAGTGTGGTGGTGAGTGTAGTGGTGAGTGTAGTGGTGAGTGTGTTGGTGAGTGTAGTGGTGAGTGTGGTGGTGAGTGTGGTGGTGGGTGTGGTGGTGAGTGTGGTGGTGAGTGTGGTGGTGAGTGTAGTGGTGAGTGTGGTGGTGAGTGTAGTGGTGAGTGTGGTGGTGAGTGTAGTGGTGAGTGTGGTGGTGAGTGTGGTGGTGAGTGTGGTGGTGAGTGTGGTGGTGGTGAGTGTGGTGGTGAGTGTAGTGGTGAGTGTAGTGGTGAGTGTGGTGGTGAGTGTGGTGGTGAGTGTGGTGGTGAGTGTGGTGGTGAGTGAGCCACCATCCCACCTCATAACCACGTGTCCGTGCTCGGCACCAGTCCAGGAGTAGTGATTTGACACTGCCACCACCTCCACCACCTCCTCCACCACCACCACCACTCTGAAAGCTGTTGGATCGCTGCAGCTTACCACGGCCTCTGCAGGTGGAAATGAGAGGGAGGGGGTGAGTGAGTGGGTGAGTGATTGGGTGAGTGAGTGGGTGAGTGGGTACGTGAGTGGGTGAGTGTGGTGAGTGGGTGAGTGGGTGAGTGAGTGGGTGAGTGAGTGGGTGAGTGGGTGGGTGAGTGGGTACGTGAGTGGGTGAGTGTGGTGAGTGGGTGAGTGGGTGAGTGAGTGGGTGAGTGGGTGGGTGAGTGGGTACGTGAGTGGGTGAGTGTGGTGAGTGGGTGAGTGAGTGGGTGAGTGAGTGGGTGAGTGGGTGAGTGAGTGAGTGGGTGGGTGGGTGAGTGAGTGAGTGGGTGAGTGAGTGGATGGTTAGATAAGTGAGTGACTGGGTGAGTAGGTGGGTGAGTGGGTGCGTGAGTGAGTGAGTGAGTGGGTGATTGGGTGAGTGAGTCAGTGGATGGTTAGGTGAGTGATTGGTTGAGTGGGTGAGTGGGTGTGTGAGTGAGTGGGTGATTGAGTGGATGGGTAGGTGAGTGAGTGATTGATTGAGTGGGCGAGTGAGTGGATGGGTAGGTGAATGAGTGACTGAGTGGGTAAGTGAGTGGATGGGTAGGTGAGTGAGTGAGTGAGTGAATGAGTGGGTGGTTGAGTGAGTGGATGGGTAGGTGAGTGAGTGAGTGAATGAGTGGGTGGGCAAAACAACCCCCTACCTCCTCGCGGTGCCGGACGAGCAATTCTGTCGTGGACAATGCTGTGGGGGGATGGCCAATTCTGATTGGCTCCTCCCCTCATGGCGTCTGTGTCCACCACAGTGGCTAAACGGGGGCTCTGGACGGGTGCGAGGGGCTGGTAACCCCTTCACCTTCAATAAATTACCACTAAACCACGACTGAAATATATAACTAATAAGCTTTTGCCGGAGGCCCCGGGGGGACAGGCGTCTATGACGTCTCCTGGCCAAACCACATTTGGCGGAGCCAGGAGATTGAATATCTACCCTCGGGGCACCTCCAGAAACAACGAAAAGCCACTACGGGTGGCCACGTGGAATGTTCGAACGCTCACTGCAGAGGAGAGGCTGCCAATCCTCTGTCGGGAGCTGGACCGGTACCGCCTGGATCTCTGTGGCATTCAGGAGGTCCGGTGGACCGGTTCTGGCTCCTGCCACCATGAGGGGCGGACAGTCCTTTACTCGGGGCAGCAGACTGCCAAACAACAGGGTGTGGCTCTTCTTTTGAACAAAAGAATGAAGGGGGCGTGAAAGCGTGGCGGTGAGGTGTGGGAAGCTGTAAGCCCCAGGCTACTTTGGGCTCGCCTTCCAATCAACCGGGGGCGAGGAGTGGTGGTCGTGGTTACTTATGCCCCCACCGAAGACGAACATCCGTGGAGGGATGCAGGCAAGGCCGATGAGTAACATGCCTTCTATGACCTCCTGTCACAGGTGCTGGCTAAAGTGGCCCCTCGGGATAGAGTCATCTTGTTGGGTGACTTCAATGCCCGAGTTTGTCATGATGCTGGCACCTGGTCTGGAGTGATTGGAGGGCATGGGCCAGATCAGCTCAATGTCAACGGTAGGAGGCTGCTAGGTTTATGTGCAGCCCATGGGTATGTAATTACCAACACGCTGTTCCGGTATCGGCGCATCCACACAACATCATGGATGCATGCCGGGTCCAAGCAAGAACGTCTGCTGGACTGCATAGAGATGGACCAGCGGATGCGAGCCCATGTCCTTGACACCAGGACCTACTGTGGAGCTGATCTGCCCTCTGACCATCGACTTTTCATCTGTAAGATGCGCCTGCCATTCTTCCACTCCGGTGGTGGGTGTACACCCAGGACCACATTCCAACCTAAAGTGGCCTGGTCTCAGCTAGCTGATGAAAGTTGCAAGCGAGAATTTCATCATCGCTTGCAGCTGGGGTTGGCATCGTCCCCGACTCCTCCTGATGTCGAGGGTAAATGGGCGAGGTTTAGGACTGTGACTCATGCAGCTGCAATGGCTGCTTTGGGTACGTGGTCCAGACCTCACCAGAGACCCTGGCTGACAGAGGAGGTGTTCAGGATGGCTGAGAAAAAGCGACAGGCCCACTGTCATCGGCCACAGAATCCCACGTCGGAGAATGAGGAGGCTTACCGCAGCCTTCGCTCGGAGGTTCGGAGAGCCGTGAGGCGCTGCAAGGATGGGTGGTGGTCGTGGATTGCTTAGGAGATAGAGTCTGCCTCAGTGGCCCGCGATCACAAATCTCTATTTAACTCCATCAAAAAAGTTACCTGCAGCGCCACACCTATCACCATCATTAGGGGAAAAAAACGGTGATCCAATCTCCGACCCCCAGGAACAGGTTTGCAGATTTGCTGAGCATTTCTGCGAGGTCCTGGGGGAGGGAAAATCCCTCAGCAAGGAAAACATCATGGGACAAAGTGTGGATGACCCTGCTGAGGCTGCGGTGCCTCAAATATTGGGAGATGTCACACCCTGTGAGTGGCTGGCTGAGGTGCCATCTGTTGAGGAAGTACTGAAGGTGATCCGGAGTCTGAGACAAGGAAAGGCAGCGGGCAGAGATGATCTCCCAAGCGAAATGCTGAGGGAGGGTGGCGTTTGTGCACAGACTGCCCTATATGACATCATAACAACAGTCTGAACCACTGGACGGGTTCCGCAGGATTGGAAGGATGCCCTGGTGGTCCCCCTCTTCAAGAAGGGGGACCGCACAGACTGTAACAACTACAGGGGCATCTCACTCCTGAGTGTACCGGGAAAGGTCCTGGCAAGGATTATTCAACATCGCCTTGCCAGGCACGCTGAGGAGAGGCTTGTGGAGCCCCAATGCGGTTTCAGGAAAGGGCGGTCCTGCACAGATGCCATATTTTCTGTCCGTCTGCTACAGCAGAGATGTAGGGAATTCCAACAAGACCTACATCTCTGCTTTATTGACCCGGTCAAGGCCTATGATACCATCAGTAGGCCTGGGCTCTGGGTTGTTCTTCGTGCTTTTGGAGTACCTGATCCTCTGCTCACGATCATTAAGGACCTTCATGATGGTGAGCGGGCCCGGGTAAAAAACTACGCGGCCGGGAGTCAGAGCCATTCCCTGTACACCTTGGGGCGCAACAGGGATGTCCTCTAGCTCCCACATTATTTAACAATTATTTTGACCACGTAGTTCGTGAAGCCTTCAATAGCTGTACCGGGGGAATCTCCATATGGTACAGATATAATGGGAGACTGATCGATGCCCGGGTGCGTTCAAGGGATGGCTCCCTATTGCTCAACCACGTTATGTATGCCGATGATCTTTTAATTGCCGCACACTCTGAGGAGGAGTTGGAGGCGCTGCTGCTGAGACTGGAGCGTGCCACTAAGAGATGCGGCCTTACCATCAGCCCCACCAAAACTAAGCACCTGCCTGGGTATTTTAGCCATCGGACACTCCACCCCCACAACTCCCAATCGGTGATGGAGCAGTTGTGGAGAGAGTGGAGAGTTTCCCATACCTGGGCAGTGTGCTCACGACCGGCTCCAGTTTAACAGCAGAGGTCTCACTCCAAATCAGTCGAGCGGCAATATCTTTTCAACGGTTGCGTAACGCTGCTGTGTGGAAGCTACCTGGTCTGTCGCTCCGCACGAAGCTTCGGGTCTTCTCGGCCATGGTGAGCTCCTCTGTTAGGCAAGGCTGCGTTGGCTTGGTCATGTAGCCCGCATGCCCAGTCACCGCATGCCTAAACAGCTTTTGTTCGGCCGGATTGAGAGGGCTAAGCGGGCGCGGCACGGGCTAGAGAAGAGATGGAGTGATGTGGTACAGGAGGACGTGGAGCTGAGTGGACTTGCCGATGACTGGTACCAGCGGTGTCAAGATCGGCCTCTGTGGGGGAGGCTCGTGAAGGACGCTACTGGGCAGTTGGAGGCAGTCGCCCTCCAACAACAACGGAGGGCGGAGGAGCGACGCTCACAACAACGAGCGGAGCGCCGGGTGGCTAAAGCACAGCAGGTTGGCACAGTAGGGGGCACAGGTGGTGCATCAGCCAGTCATCTCAGTCAGTCGACCCGTGGCACCTGCTGGGTCTGCCCCATGACCTCCTGCCAGAGGGCGTTCGACACTTCACGTGGCCTCAAGGTGCACATGGCCTGGCACAAGCGTCGTGGTGACGTCACCGCCACTTAGTGGCGAATGGCAGTTGTTGTTGTTGAGTGTCTGTGTGTGAGTGTATGAGTAAATGTGTGAGTGAGTGTGTGAGAGAGTGAGTGAGTGTATGAGTGAGTGTATGAGTGAGTGAGTTTATGAGTGAGTGTGTGAGTGAGTGTATGAGTGAGTGGGTGTATGAGTGAGTGTATGAGTGAGTGTATGATTGAGTGACTGACTGAGTGAGTGTATGAATGAGAGTATGAGTGAGTGAGTGACTGAGTAACTGACTGAGTGAGTGAGTGTATGAGTGAGTGTATGAGTGAGTGTATGAGTGAGTGTATGATTGAGTGAGTGAGTGTATGAGTGAGTGTATGAGTGAGTGTATGAGTGAGTGAGTGACTGAGTGAGTGTATGAGTGAGTGTATGAGTGTGTGAGTGTATGAGTGAGTGAGTGACTGAGTGTATGAGTGAGTGTATGAGTGTGTGAGTGTATGAGTGAGTGTATGAGTGTGTGAGTGTATGAGTGAGTGTATGAATGAGTGAGTGTATGAGTGAGTGTATGAGTGTGTGAGTGTATGAGTGAGTGTATGAGTGTGTGAGTGTATGAGTGAGTGTATGAGTGAGTGTATGAGTGAGTGTATGAGTAACTGAGTGACTGAGTGACTGACTTCCTGACTGGCTGAGTGACTGACTGAGTGACTGAGTGACTGTATGAGTGACTGACTTGACTGACTGACTGACTGAGTGACTGACTGAGTGACTGAGTGAGTGTATGAGTGAGTGACTGACTTACTGACTGGCTGACTGACTGAGTGACTGACTGAGTGACACATGCCTCTACAGCCCTTCCTTCCCGAGGCCACACGGGTCCCCATTGCCTGCGGCTGACCGACCGAGCGAGTATCGCGAAGTCCCCGCTATAAATACCCGTGTCATCACCATCGCCAGATTCTTATTTTTGGTTAGCGGACACCCAGCGGAGAAGTGATGGTTCAGGTTATATTGGGCGGCTTCCACCCACCACTACCCCCCACCCCCCCCCCCCCCCACTATTACCCCCCCACCCCCCGCCCCCAACCACCACAACGGAAAATCGGCGCTGGAATGTGGGAGATGAACCAACACTTCCCCCACCGACCATCCCACTCATCACTCACCCATCCCAAAACTATCACCTGTCCCACGAAGCACTCACTAAGGCGGTGAACGAGTGAGTGTGTGAGTGAGTGTATGAGTGAGTGAGTGTATGAGTGAGTGAGTGTATGAGTGAGTGAGTGTATGAGTGAGTGAGTGTATGAGTGAGTGAGTGTATGAGTGAGTGTATGAGTGTGTGAGTGTATGAGTGAGTGTGTGAGTGAGTGTATGAGTGAGTGTATGAGTGAGTGTATGAGTGAGTGTGTGAGTGAGCGAGTGAGTGTATGAGTGAGTGTATGAGTGAGTGTATGAGTCAGTGTATGAGTGAGTGTATGAGTGAGTTAATGAGTGTGTGAGTGTATGAGTGAGTGAATGAGTGTGTGAGTGTATGAGTGAGTGTATGAGTGAGTGTATGAGTGAGTGTATGAGTGAGTGCGTGTATGAGTGAGTGTGTGAGTGTGTGAGTGAGTGAGTGTATGAGTGAGTATATGAGTGAGTGAGTGAGTGTATGAGTGAGTGAGTGTATGAGTGAGTGAGTGTATGAGTGAGTGAGTGAGTGTATGAGTGAGTGTATGAGTGAGTGAGTGAGTGTATGAGTGAGTGAGTGTATGAGTGAGTGAGTGTATGAGTGAGTGAGTGACTGACTGAGTGACTGACTGAGTGACTGAGTGACTGACTGAGTGAGTGACTGAGTGACTGAGTGAGTGTATGAGTGAGTGTATGAGTGAGTGAGTGTATGAGTGAGTGAGTGTATGAGTGACTAACTGACTGAGTGACTGACTGAGTGACTGACTGAGTGAGTGAGTGTATGAGTGAGTGACTGACTGAGTGACTGACTGAGTGACTGACTGAGTGAGTGAGTGTATGAGTGAGTGACTGACTGAGTGACTGACTGAGTGACTGAGTGAGTGACTGAGTGACTTACTGACTGAGTGAGTGTATAAATGAGTGAGTGAGTGTATGAGTGAGTGACTGAGTGACTGACTGACTGACTGAGTGACTGACTGAATGACTGAGTGACTGAGTGAGTGACTGAGTGACTGACTGACTGAGTGACTGAGTGAGTGTATGAGTGACTGACTGAGTGACTGAGTGAGTGAGTGACTGACTGACTGAGTGACTGAGTGACTGAGTGAGTGACTGACTGACTGAGTGACTGACTGAGTGAGTGACTAAGTGAGTGTATGAGTGACTGACTGAGTGACTGACTGACTGACTGAGTGACTGCCTGACTGACCGAGTGACTGACTGACTGAACCCCACTCACCCTCCCGGTGTTAGCAAGCCCCCTCTCTCCAGCTTGTCCATCAGCGCCTTGCGACTCTGAGAGCCGGGAGTTGATGGGAGTGTCAAGGACCTCAGAGTGACTGAGTGACTGAGTGACTGACTGAGTGACTGAGTGAGTGACTGACTGAGTGACTGAGTGAGTGACTGACTGAGTGACTGAGTGACTGACTGAGCGACTGACTGAGTGACTGACTGACTGCGTGAGTGACTGACCGAGTGACTGACTGACTGACTGCGTGAGTGACTGACCGAGTGACTGACTGACTGAGTGACTGAGTGTATGAGTGAGTGTAACAGTGAGTGAGTGTATGAGTGTATGAGGGAGTGACTGAGTGAGTGAGTGTATGAGTGAGTGTATGAGTGAGTGTATGAATGAGTGAGTGAGTGTATGAGTGAGTGACTGAGTGACTGACTGACTGAGTGACTGGCTGAGTGACTGACTGAGTGACTGACTGAGTGACTGAGTGACTGACTGAGTGACTGACTGATTGACTGACTGAGTGACTGAGTGACTGACTGAGTGACTGAGTGACTGACTGAGTGACTGACTGACTGACTGAGTGACTGACTGACTAACTGAGTGACTGACTGAGTGACTGACTGACTGAGTGACTGACTGAGTGACTGACCGAGTGACTGACTAACTGAACCCCACTCACCCTCCCGGTGTTAGCAAGCCCCCTCTCTCCAGCTTGTCCATCAGCGCCTTGCGACTCTGAGAGCCGGGAGTTGATGGGAGTGTCAAGGACCTCAGAGTGACTGACTTAGTGACTGACTGACTGACTGAGTGACTGACTGAGTGACTGACTGAGTGACTGAGTGGGTGAGTGTATGAGTGAGTGAGTGTATGAGTGAGTGACTGACTGAGTGACTGAGTGAGTGACTGACTGATTGAGTGACTGAGTGACTGAGTGGCTGACTGAGTGACTGAGTGACTGACTGAGTGACTGACCGAGTGACTGACTGACTGAACCCCACTCACCCTCCCGATGTTAGCAAGCCCCCTCTCTCCAGCTTGTCCATCAGCGCCTTGCGACTCTGAGAGCCGGGAGTTGATGGGAGTGTCAAGGACCTCAGAGTGACTGACTTAGTGACTGACTGACTGACTGAGTGACTGACTGAGTAACTGACTGAGTGACTGAGTGGGTGAGTGTATGAGTGAGTGAGTGTATGAGTGAGTGACTGACTGAGTGACTGACTGAGTGACTGACTGACTGACTGAGTGACTGACTGACTGAGTGACTGACTGATTGAGTGACTGAGTGACTGAGTGACTGACTGAGTGACTGAGTGACTGACTGAGTGAACCCCACTCACCCTCCCGATGTTAGCAAGCCCCCTCTCTCCAGCTTGTCCATCAGCGCCTTGCGACTCTGAGAGCCGGGAGTTGATGGGAGCGTCAAGGACCTCAATAGGGGTCTGGAGCTGTGTGTGGAGCCGGAGACCCCCGCGGGTTTAGGGGGTGTGGGGGGGCCAGAGACCCCCGCGGGTTTAGGGGGTGTGGGGGGGGCGGAGACCCCCGGGGGAGACGTCAGGGGCGGCTCCACGTGGCCTGGGAAGACCCCCAACTCGGTGCTGGACGGGGGAGAGAAGGGGGTTAGGGTGGTGGTGGTGGGGGTGGTGGTGGTGGTGGTGGGGGTGGTGGTGGGGGTGGTGGTGGTGGTGGTGGGGGTGGTGGTGGTGGGGGTGGTGGTGGTGGTGGTGGGGGTGGTGGTGTTGGGGGTGGTGGTGGTGGTGGTGGGGGTGGTGGTGGTGGTGGTGGGGGTGGTGGGGGTGGTGGTGGTGGTGGTGGGGGTGGTGGTGTTGGGGGTGGTGGTGGGGGTGGTGGTGGGGGTGGTGGTGGGGGTGGTGGTGGTGGGGGTGGTGGTGGGGGTGGTGGTGGGGGTGGTGGTGGGGGTGGTGGTGGTGGTGGTGGTGAGGGTGGTGGTGAGGGTGGTGGTGGTGGTGGTGGTGGTGGTGGTGGTGGTGATGGTGGTGGTGGTGGGGGTGGTGGTGGGGGTGATGATGATGGTGATGGTGGTGTTGATGTTGTTGTTGATGTTGTTGATGTTGTTGATGGTGATGTTGTTGATGTTGTTGTTGATGTTGTTGATGTTGATCGTGATGTTGTTGATGTTGTTGTGGTTGTTGTTGTTGATGTTGTTTATGTTGTTGTTGATGGTGTTGATGTTGTTGTTGATGTTGTTGTGGTTGTTGATGTTGTTGATGTTGGTACCTGGATGTTGTTGCAATTTCCACTCCGCGCGTCCCTACAGCAAACACAAACACAGCTGCTGATGGTGATGATGATGGTGATGATGATGACTCAACACTGCACCATAGACTCAACACTGCCCATAGACTCAACACTGCCCATAGACTCAACACTGCACCATAGACTCAACACTGCCCATAGACTCAACACTGCACCATAGACTCACCACTGCCCATAGACTCAACACTGCACCATAGACTCAACACTGCACATAGACTCAACACTGCATCATAGACTCAACAATGCCCATAGACTCAACACTGCCCATAGACTCAATACTGCACCATAGACTCAACACTGCACTATAGACTCAGCACTGCACCATAGACTCAACACTGCCCATAGACTCAACACTGCACCATAGACTCAACACTGCACCATAGACTCAACACTGTCCATAGACTCAACACTGCACCATAGACTCAACACTGCATCATAGACTCAACACTGCCCATAGACTCAACACTGCACCATAGACTCAACACTACCCATAGACTCAACACTGCCCATAGACTCAACACTGCCCATAGACTCATCACTGCCCATAAACTCAACACTGCACCATAGACTCAACACTGCCCATAGACTCAACACTGCCCATATACTCAACACTGCACCATAGACTCAACACTGCCCATAGACTCAATACTGCACAATAGACTCAACACTGCACCATAGACTCAACACTGCCCATAGACTCACCACTGCACCATAGACTCAACACTGCCCATAGACTCAACACTGCACCATAGACTCAACACTGCACCATAGACTCAACACTGCACCATAGACTCAACACTGCACCATATACTCAACACCGCACCATATACTCAACACTGCACCATATACTCAACACTGCACCATATACTCAACACTGCACCATAGACTCAATACTGCAACATAGACTCAACACTGCACCATAGACTCAACACTGCCCATAGACTCACCACTGCACCATAGACTCAACACTGCACCATAGACTCAACACTGCACCATAGACTCAACACTGCACCATAGACTCAACACTGCACCATAGACTCAACACTACCCATAGACTCAACACTACCCATAGACTTAACAATGCACCATAGACTCCACACAGCCCATAGACTCAACACTGCACCATAGACTCAACACTGCACCATAGACTCAACACTGCCCATAGACTCAACACTGCACCAGAGACTCAACACTGCACCATAGACTCAACACTGCACCATAGACTCAACACTGCCCATAGACTCAACACTGCACCATAGACTCAACACTGCCCATAGACTCAACACTGCCCATAGACTCAACACTGCACCATAGACTCAACACTGCACCATAGACTCAACACTACGCTTAGACTCAACACTGCACCATAGACTCAACACTGCACCATAGACTCAACACTGCCCATAGACTCAACACTGAACCATAGACTCAACACTGCCCATAGACTAAACACTGCCCATAGACTCAACACTGCCCATAGACTCATCACTGCCCATAGACTCAACACTGCACCATAGACTCAACATTGCCCATAGACTCAACACTGCACCATAGACTCAACACTGCACCATAGACTCAACACTGCCAATAGACTAAACACTGCCCATAGACTCAACACTGCCCATAGACTCATCACTGCCCATAGACTCAACACTGCACCATAGACTCAGCACTGCACCATAGACTCAACACTGCACCATAGACTCAACACTGCACCATAGACTCAACACTGCACCATAGACTCAACATTGCCCATAGACTCAACACTGCACCATAGCCTCAACACTGCACCATAGACTCAACACTGCACCATAGACTCAACACTGCACCATAGACTCAACACTGCCCATAGACTCAACACTGCACCATAGACTCAACACTGCCCATAGACTCATCACTGCACCATAGACTCAACACTGCCCATAGACTCAACACTGCCCATAGACTCAACACTGCACCATAGACTCAACACTGCACCATAGACTCAACACTGCACCATAGACTCAACACTGCACCATAGACTCAACACTGCACCATAGACTCAACACTGCACCATAGACTCAACACTGCCCATAGACTCAACACTGCACCATAGACTCAACACTGCACCATAGACTCATCACTGCACCATAGACTCAACACTGCCCATAGACTCAACACTGCCCATAGACTCAACACTGCCCATAGACTCAACACTGCACCATAGACTCAACACTGCACCATAGACTCAACACTGCACCATAGACTCAACACTGCACCATAGACTCAACACTGCACCATAGACTCAACACTGCACCATAGACTCAACACTGCACGATAGACACAACACTGCCCACAGACTCAACACTGCCCACAGACTCAACACTGCCCATAGACTCAACACTGCCCATAGACTCATCACTGCACCATAGACTCAACACTGCCAATAGACTAAACACTGCACCATAGTCTCAACACTGCACCATAGACTCAACACTGCCCACAGACTCCAAACCCTGCCACCCACTCACCCACTCACCAACTCACTCACCCACCCACCCACTCACTCACTCACCCACCCACCCACCCACTCACTCACCCACCCACCAACCAACCCACCCACACACCCACTCACTCACCCACCCACTCACCCACCCACCAACTCACCCACCCACCCACCAACCCACTCACCCACCCACTCACCCACCCACCCACTCACTCACTCACCCACCCACCCACTCACTCAACCACCCACCCACCCACCCACCAACCCACTCACTCACTCACTCACCCACCCACCCACCCACTCACTCACTCACTCACCCACCCACCCACCCACTCACTCAACCACCCACCCACCCACTCACTCACCCACCCACCCACCCCCTCACCCACCCACCCACTCACCCACCCACCCACTCACTCACCCACTCACTCACTCACTCACCCACTCACTCACTCACTCACCCACCCACCCACTCACTCACTCACCCACCCACTCACCCACCCACTCACTCACCCACCCACCCACTCACTCACCCACCCACCCACTCAGCAACTCACTCACTCACTCACCCACTCACCCACCCACCCACTCACCCACTCACCCACCCACCCACTCACCAACCCACCCACCCACTCACCCACTCACCCACCCACCCACTCACCAACTCACTCACCCACCCATCCACCCACCCACCAACTCACCCACCCACCAACCCACCCACCGTGCCCACGTGCTCCTCTGACCCCCAGCGGATGGGCCAGCATGGCGAGGGCGGGGCCATGCATCGTGGCTCCTCCCACTTCGTGCGTGGCAACGCCCCTCTCACCCGTGGCTCCGCCTTTTTCTCCCGCGGCCCCGCCCCCTCCCCATCCACCGGCCCCGCCCCTCTCCTCCGAGCGGGCCCTCGAGCGCGAAGGGGCGGGGCCCGGGGGGACCTTGGGGCCCCGGACTCGGAATTCTTCACCCTGTGGGGGGGGGGGTGAAGAGGGGGGGGTGAAGAGGTGGGGGTGAAGAGGTGGGGGGTGAAGAGGTGGGGGGTGAAGAGGGGGGGTGAAGAGGTGGGGGGTGAAGAGGTGGGAGGTGAAGAGGTGGGGGGTGAAGAGGTGGGGGGTGAAGAGGTGGGGGGGGGTGAAGAGGTGGGGGGTGAAGGGGGGGTGAAGAGGGGGGGGTGAAGAGGGGGGGTGAAGGGGGGTGAAGAGGGGGGGTGAAGAGGGGGGGTGAAGAGGGGGGGGGTGAAGAGGGGGGGGGGTGAAGAGGGGGGGGGGGGGTGAATAGGTGGGGGGTGGGGGAGCGCTTTGGCTGATTCCAGGAATAGATCAACTCAGACGTTGAGCTGACATTCGGGACCCCACTGTGAACACAAAACCATAACGACAACACAAACACACAAACACACACACAGACACACACAGTACACACACACACAGACACACATACACACACAGACACACACAGACACACACAGACACACACACAGACACACACACACAGACACACACACAGACACACATACACACACACAGACACACAGACACACACAGACACACACACAGACACACACAGACACACACACAGACACACACAAAGACACACAGAAACACACACAAAGACACACAGAAACACACACACAGACAGAAACACACAGACACACAGACACACACAGACAGACACACACACACACTAACACAGACACACACAGACACACACACACAGACACATACACACAGTACACACACACACAGACACACACACACAGACACACACATACACACACACAGACACAACAACCGCAATTCGCCACAAAGTGGCGGTGACGTCACCACGAAGCTTGTGCCAGGCTATGTGCACCCAGAGGCCACGTGAAGTGTCGAACGCCCGCTGGCAGGAGGTCACGGGGCAGACCCAGGTGCCACGGGTTGACTGACTGAGATGACTGGCTGATGCACCACCTGTGCCCCCTACTGTGCCAACTTGCAGTGCTTTAGCCACCCGGCGCTCCGCTTGTTGTTGTGGGCGTCGCTCCTCTGCCCTCCGTTGTTGTTGGAGGGCGACTGCCTCCAACTGCTCAGTAGCATCCTTCACGAGCCTCCTCCACAGAGGCCGATCTTGACACCGCTGGTACCGGTCATCGGCAAGTCCACTCAGATTCACATCCTCCTTTTACCACGTCACTCCATCTCTTCTCTAGCCCGTGCCGCGCCCGTTTAGTTCCCTCGATCCGGCCAAACAAAAGCTGTTTCGGCATGCGGTGGCTGGGCATGCGGGCTACATGACCCAGCCATCGCAGCCTTGCCTGCCGGAGGAGCTCACCGATGGGACCCTGCCCAGATCTTTCAAGGCTTTGTGAGCTCCTCACACAATCCAGCCTGGTTAAACCCAGGATGGATCGTAGGCAGGCAATCCTAAATGTTTCTAACCAGCGAAGATGTTCCATTAGGGGGGTCCACGTTTCGCAAGCATAGAGAAGGGAGGGAATGACCGTGGCCGAGAATATCTGAAGCTTAGTGCGGAGCGACAGACCAGGTAGCTTCCACACAGCGCTACGCAACCGATGAAAAGATATTGCCGCTCGATTGATTCGGAGTGAGACCTCCGCTGTTAAAGTGGAGCCGGTCATAAGCACACTGCCCAGGTATGGGAAACTCTCCACTCTCTCCACAACTGCCCCATCACCGATTGGGAGTTGTGGGGGTGGAGTGCCCAATGGTACAACATACCCGGGCAGGTGCTTAGTTTTGGTGGGGCTGATGGTAAGGCCCCACCTCTTAGTGGCACGCTCCAGTCTCAGCAGCAGCGTCTCCAACTCCTCCTCTGAATAAGCGGCTATTACCAAATCATCGGCATACATAACTTGGTTGAGCAATAGGGAGCCATCCCTTGACCGCACCCGGGCATCGATCAGTCTCCCATTATATCTGTACCATATGGAGATTCCCCCGGTACAGCTATTGAAGGCTTCACGAACTACGTGGTCAAAATAGATGTTAAATAATGTGGGAGCCAGAGGACATCCCTGTCCCACGCCAAGGTGTACAGGGAATGGCTCTGTCTCCCGGCCACGTAGTTTTACCCGGGCCTGCTCACCATCATGAAGGTCCTTAATGATCGTGAGCAGAGGGTCAGGGACTCCAAAAGCACGAAGAACAACCCAGAGCCCAGGCCTATTGATGGCATCGTAGGCCTTGACCAGGTCAATAAAGCAGAGATGTAGGTCTTGTTGGAATTCCCTACACCTCTGCTGTAGCAGCCGGACAGAAAATATGGCATCTGTGCAGGACCGCCCTTTCCTGAAACCGCATTGGGGCTCCGCAAGCCTCTCCTCAGCGTGCCTGGCGAGGCGATTTTGAATAATCCTTGCCAGGATCTTTCCTGGCACACTGAGGAGTGAGATGCCCCTGTAGTTGTTACAGTCTGTGCGGTCCCCCTTCTTAAAGAGGGGGACCACCAGGGCATCTTTCCAATCCTGCGGAACCCGTCCAGTGGTCCAGACTGTTGTTATGATGTCATATAGGGCAGTCTGTGCACAAACGCCACCCTCGCTCAGTATTTCACTTGGGAGATCATCTCTGCCTGCTGCCTTTCCTGGTCTCAGACTCCGGATCGCCTTCAGTACTTCCTCAAAAGATGGCACCTCAGCCAGCCACTCACAGGGGGTGACTTCTTCCAATATTAGAGGCACCGCAGCCACAGCAGGGTCATCCCCACTTTGTGCCACGATGTTTTCCTGGCTGAGGGATTTCCCCTCCCCCAGGACCTCACAGAAATGTTCAGCAAATCTGCAAACCTGTTCTTGGGGGTCGGAGATTGGATCACCGTTTTTTCCCCTAATGATGGTAATAGGTGTGGCGCTGCAGGTTACTGTTTTGATGGAGTTAAATAGAGATTTGTGATCACGGGCCACTGAGGCAGACTCTATCTCCCAAGCAATCCACGACCACCACCCATCCTTGCAGCGCCTCACGGCTCTCCGAACCTCTGAGCGAAGGCTGCGATAAGCCTCCTCATTCTCCGACGTGGGATTCTGTAGCCGATGACAGTGGGCCTGTCGCTTTTTCTCAACCATCCTGAACACCTCCTCTGTCAGCCAGGGTCTCTGGGGAGGTCTGGACCGCGTACCCAAAGCAGCCATTGCAGCTGCATGAGTCACAGTCCTAAACCTCGCCTCATTTACCCTCGACATCAGGAGGAGTCGGGGACGATGCCAATCCCAGCCGCAAGCGATGATAAAATTCTCGCTTGCAACTTTCATCAGCTAGCTGAGACCAGGCCACTATGGGTTTGAATGGGGTCCTGGGCGTTACACCCACCAACCGGAGCGGAAGAATGGCAGGCGCATCTTTACAGATGACTAGTCGATGGTCAGAGGGCCAATCAGCTCCACGGTAGGTCCTGGTGTCAAGGACATGGGCTCGCATTCGCTGGTCTGTCACTACGTAGTCCCGCAGACGTTATTGCTTGGACCCGGCATGCATCCATGATGTTGTGTGGATGCGCCAATGCCGGAACAGCGTGCGTAGGTAATTACAAGCCCATGTGCTGCACGTAAATCTAGCGGCCTCCTACCGTTGACATTGAGCTGATCTTGCCCATGCCCTCCAATCACTCCAGACCGGGTGGCAGCATCGTGACCAACTCGGGCATCGAAGTCACCCAACAAGATGACTCTATCCCGAGGGGCCGCTTTAGTTAGCTTCTCCCACATTTGCCCACGTGACCAGACCAGGTGCTGCCACCCCTCCCCTCCCCCTCCCCCCACAATCTCACATCGCCCACGTGACCAGACCAGGTGCTGCCACCCCTCCCCCACCCCACCCCCTCCATTCTCACATTGCCCACGTGAACAGACCAGGTGCTGCCACCCCTCCCCTCCCCCTCCCCCCACAATCTCACATCGCCCACGTGAGCAGACCAAGTGCTGCCACCCCTCCCCCATCCCTTCCCCCCAGCCTCACATTGCCTACGTGACCAGACCAGGTGCTGCCACCCCTCCCCCCCAGCCTCACATTGCCCACGTGACCAGACCAGGTGCTGCCACCCCTCCCCCACATTGCCCACGTGACCAGACCATGTTCTGCCACCCCTCCCCCTCTCCCCCATTCTCACATTGCCCACGTGACCAGACCAGGTGCTGCCACCCCTCCCCCTCCCCCCCATCCTCACATTGCCCACGTGACCAGACCAGGTGCTGCCACCCCTCCCCCACCCCACCCCCTCCATTCTCACATTGCCCACGTGACCAGACCAAGTGCTGCCACCCCTCCCCCATCCCTTCCCCCCAGCCTCACATTGCCTACGTGACCAGACCAGGTGCTGCCACCCCTCCCCCCCAGCCTCACATTGCCCACGTGACCAGACCAGGTGCTGCCACACCTCCCCCACATTGCCCACGTGACCAGACCATGTTCTGCCACCCCTCCCCCTCCCCCCCCATACTCACATTGCCCACGTGACCAGACCAGGTGCTGCCACCCCTCCCCCCCATCCTCACATTGCCCACGTGACCAGACCAGGTGCTGCCACCCCTCCCCCACATTGCCCACGTGACCAGACCAGGTGCTGCCACCCCTTCCCCTCCCCATCCTCACATTGCCCACGTGACCAGACCAGGTGCTGCCACCCCTCCCCCACATTGGCCACGTGACCAGTCCAGGTGCTGCCACCCCTCCCCCTCCCCATCCTCACATTGCCCACGTGACCAGACCAGGTGCTGCCACCCCTCCCCCACATTGCCCACGTGACCAGACCAGGTGCTGCCACCCCTCCCCATCCTCACATTGCCCACGTGACCAGACCAGGTGCTGCCACCCCTCCCCCTCCCCATCCTCACATTGCCCACGTGACCAGACCAGGTGCTGCCACCCCTCCCCCACATTGCCCACGTGACCAGACCAAGTGCTGCCACCCCTCCCCCTCCCCATTCTCACATTGCCCACGTGACCAGACCAGGTGCTGCCACCCCTCCCCATCCTCACATTGCCCACGTGACCAGACGAGGCGTCTCCGCTGCTCCCAAGTGGACGCCTCCTCCACGGAGGGCTGCCCACGTGGCCCGCCCCCTCCCCCACCACCCCCTCCTCCTCACCCCCCACCCCCACCTCTTCACCCCCCACCTCGTCTTGGCCGCGGGCAGCCCCCCCCGCGGGAAGGCGAGACCCCTCCTGCTGATGATGATGATGCTCCTGCTGCTGATGAAGATGCTGCTCCTGCTGATGATGCTGCTCCTGCTGATGATGATGCAGCGACTCCTGTAGAGCTTGCACCTGGGGGGTGAGTGGGTAGGAGTGTAAGAGTGAGTGTATGAGTGAGTTAGTGTAAGAGTGAGTGTGTGAGTGTGTGTGTGAGTGAGTGTATGAGTGAGTGAGTGTATGAGTTAGTGAGTGAGTGTATGAGTGAGTGAGTGTATGAGTGAGTGAGTGTATGAGTGAGTGTATGAGTGAGTGTATGAGTGAGTGTATGAGTTAGTGTATGAGTTAGTGTATGAGTGAGTGAGTGTATGAGTGAGTGAGTGTATGAGTGAGTGTATGAGTGAGTGTATGAGTGAGTGTATGAGTGAGTTAGTGAGTGTATGAGTGAGTGAGTGTATGAGTGAGTGTATGAGTGAGTGTATGAGTGAGTGAGTGTATTAGTGAGTGTATGAATGAGTGAGTGAGTGTATGAGTGAGTGTATGAGTTAGTGAGTGTATGAGTGAGTGTATGAGTGAGTGTATGAGTGAGTGAGTGTATGAGTGAGTGAGTGAGTGTATGAGTGAGTGTATGAGTGAGTGTAACAGTGAGTGAGTGTAACAGTGAGTGAGTGTAACAGTGAGTGAGTGTATGAGTGAGTGTATGAGTTAGTGAGTGTATGAGTTAGTGTATGAGTGTATGAGTGAGTGAGTGTATGAGTGAGTGAGTGTATGAGTGTATGAGTGAGTGTATGAGTGAGTGTATGAGTGAGTGTATGAGTGAGTGAATGTATGAGTGAATGTATGAGTGAGTGAATGTATGAGTGAGTGAGTGTATGAGTGAGTGAGTGTATGAGTGAGTGAGTGTATGAGTGAGTGAGTGTATGAGTGAGTGTATGAGTGAGTGTATGAGTGAGTTAGTGAGTGTATGAGTGAGTGAGTGTATGAGTGAGTGTATGAGTGAGTGTATGAGTGAGTGAGTGTATGAGTGAGTGTATGAATGAGTGAGTGAGTGAGTGTATGAGTGAGTGTATGAGTGAGTGAGTGAGTGTATGAGTGAGTGAGTGTATGAGTGAGTGTATGAGTGAGTGAGTGTATGAGTGAGTGTAACAGTGAGTGAGTGTAACAGTGAGTGAGTGTATGAGTGAGTGTATGAGTGAGTGTATGAGTGAGTGAGTGTATGAGTGAGTGAGTGTATGAGTGAGTGAGTGAGTGTATGAGTGAGTGTAACAGTGAGTGAGTGTAACAGTGAGTGAGTGTATGAGTGAGTGTATGAGTGAGTGAGTGTATGAGTGAGTGTATGAGTTAGTGAGTGTATGAGTGAGTGTATGAGTGAGTGTATGAGTGAGTGTATGAGTGAGTGTATGAGTGAGTGAATGTATGAGAGTGAATGTGTGAGTGAGTGAATGTATGAGTGAGTGTATGAGTGAGTGTATGAGTGAGTGAATGTATGAGTGAGTGAATGTATGAGTGAGTGTATGAGTGAGTGAGTGTATGAGTGAGTGTATGAGTGAGTGAGTGTATGAGTGAGTGAGTGAGTGTATGAGTGAGTGTATGAGTTAGTGAGTGTATGAGTGAGTGTATGAGTGAGTGTATGAGTGAGTGTATGAGTTAGTGAGTGTATGAGTGAGTGTATGAGTGAGTGTATGAGTGAGTGAATGTATGAGTGAGTGAATGTATGAGTGAGTGAATGTATGAGTGAGTGAATGTATGAGTGAGTGAGAGTGAGCACACTGGATATTTCCCCCAACCCCTCACCAGCACACACACACAGAGTGGAACTCATTTTAATGAACACCAAATCTCACCCACCCACCCACCACCCTCCTATCGCTCCTTAAAGCTGACATAGAATCCTGCCTCTCAACCCCCCAGACACACACCGACTCATCTGTCAACAGGAGAAGTGAGCTAACAACAGCAGACAAACACACAGACACAGAGACACACACACACACAGCGAAACACACACAGACACGCACACACAGACACGCACACAGACACACAGACACACACACAGACACACACACAGACACACACACAGACACAGAGACACACACACAGACACACACACACAGAGACACACACACAGACAGAGACACACACACACACACAGACACAGAGACACACACACAGACACACACACAGCGAAACACACACAGACACACACACACAGACACACACAGACACACACACACAGACACACAGACACACACACACAGACACACACACAGAGACTCACACACACAGACACACACAGACACACACACAGACACACACACAGAGATTCACACACACACGCACACACAGACACAGAGACACACACACAGACACAGACACACACACAGACAGACAGACACACACACAGACACACACAGACACAAAGATAACAAAGATCCCCCATATAGCCTTAACAGACTGTAGGGGCAAGTGCTGTTAGCGAGCACCTATGAAGGCCGGCACGGCACACGAGGGGGTGGGTGGCCAGCACCACGCCCGACCGCCTTTGTCTCCCTAGTGGCGATGTTTACACACCGCACCAGGTACTCATTTGAGGCTGAGTCGAACTAGGGGAGGCCCGGGACCGGTTCAGATAATCGCCACTGGTGTTGGCCGTGAGCGGGAATCGAACCCGGGTCGCCAGGTTCATAGCGCAGCATAGCGCTAACCGCTACACTACCGCTCCCCGTAACACACACACAGTCACACACACGCACAAAGAGAGACACACAGACACACACACGGACACACACACAGACCCACACACACACAGACACACACACAGACACACACACACAGACACACACACACACAGACACACACACACAGAGACACACACACAGACACACACACAGACACACAGAGACACGATGTTCCCGTGTCCTGTGGGTGAGTGAGTGAGTGGGTGAGTTAGTGGGTGGGTGAGTGAGTGAGTGGGTGAGTGAGTGGTTGGGTGAGTGGGTGAGTGGTTGGGTGAGTGAGTGGGCGAATGGGTGAGTGGGTGAGTGAGTGGGTGAGTGAGTGAGTGGGTGAGTGAGTGAGTGGGCCAGTGAATAAGTGGGTGAGTGGGTGAGTGGGTGAGTGAGTGAGTGGGTGAGTGAGTGAGTGGGTGGGTGAGTGGGTGAGTGAGTGAGTGGGTGTGTGAGTGGGTGAGTGAGTGAGTGGGCGAGTGGGCGAGTGAGTGAGTGAGTGGGTGACTGGGTGAGCGGGTGAGTGAGTGGGTGAGTGAGTGGTTGGGTGGTGAGTGAGTGGGTGGGTGACTGGGTGAGTGAGTAAGTGGGTGAGTGAGTGGGTGAGCGGGTGAGTGAGTGGGTGAGTGGGTGAGTGAGTGGGTGAGTGAGTGAGTGGGTGAGTGAGTGAGTGGGCCAGTGAATGAGTGGGTGAGTGGGTGAGTGAGTGAGTGGTTGGGTGAGTGAGTGAGTGGGTGAGTGAGTGGTTGGGTGAGTGAGTGGGTGAGTGGGTGAGTGAGTGAGTGGGTGAGTGGCTGGGTGAGTGTGTGGGTGAGTGGTTGGGTGAGTGAGTGAGTGAGTGGGTGAGTGAGTGAGTGGGCCAGTGAATGAGTGGGTGAGTGAGTGGGTGGGTGAGTGGGTGAGTGAGTGGGTGGGTGAGTGGGTGAGTGAGTGGGTGAGTGGGTGAGTGGGTGAGTGGGTGAGTGAGTGGGTGAGTGGGTGAGTGAGTGAGTGGGTGGGTGGGTGAGTGGGTGAGTGGGTGAGTGGGTGGGTGAGTGGGTGAGTGAGTGGGTGGGTGGGTGAGTGGGTGAGTGGGTGAGTGAGTGGGTGAGTGGGTGAGTGAGTGAGTGGGTGAGTGAGTGAGTGGGTGGGTGGGTGAGTGGGTGAGTGGGTGAGTGAGTGGGTGAGTGGGTGAGTGAGTGGGTGAGTGAGTGGGTGAGTGGGTGAGTGGGTGAGTGAGTGAGTGAGTGGTTGGGTGAGTGGGTGAGTGAGTGGTTGGGTGAGTGGTTGGGTGAGTGAGTGGGCGAGTGGTTGAGTGGGTGAGTGAGTGGGTGAGTGAGTGAGTGAGTGGGTGAGTGAGTGAGTGGGCCAGTGAATAAGTGGGTGAGTGGGTGAGTGAGTGGGTGGGTGAGTGGGTGAGTGAGTGAGTGGGTGAGTGAGTGAGTGGGTGGGTGAGTGGGTGAGTGAGTGAGTGGGTGTGTGAGTGGGTGAGTGAGTGAGTGGGCGAGTGGGCGAGTGAGTGAGTGAGTGGGTGACTGGGTGAGGGGGTGAGTGAGTGAGTGGGTGAGTGAGTGGTTGGGTGGTGAGTGAGTGGGTGGGTGACTGGGTGAGTAAGTGGGTGAGTGAGTGGGTGAGCGGGTGAGTGAGTGGGTGAGCGGGTGAGTGGGTGAGTGAGTGGGTGAGTGAGTGAGTGGGTGAGTGAGTGAGTGGGCCAGTGAATGAGTGGGTGAGTGGGTGAGTGAGTGAGTGGTTGGGTGAGTGGTTGGGTGAGTGAGTGAGTGGGTGAGTGAGTGGTTGGGTGAGTGAGTGGGTGAGTGGGTGAGTGAGTGAGTGGGTGAGTGGGTGAGTGAGTGAGTGGGTGAGTGGCTGGGTGAGTGTGTGGGTGAGTGGTTGGGCGAGTGAGTGGGTGAGTGAGTGGGCCAGTGAATGAGTGGGTGAGTGGGTGAGTGAGTGGGTGGGTGAGTGGGTGAGTGAGTGGGTGAGTGTGCGAGTGAGTGGGTGAGTGGGTGAGTGAGTGGGTGAGTGGGTGAGTGAGTGAGTGGGTGGGTGGGTGAGTGAGTGAGTGGGGTGAGTGAGTGGGTGAGTGGGTGAGTGAGTGGGTGGGTCGGTGAGTGGGTGAGTGGGTGAGTGAGTGAGTGGGTGAGTGGGTGAGTGAGTGAGTGAGTGGGCGAGTGGGTGAGTGAGTGAGTGAGTGGGTGAGTGAGTGGGTGAGTGGGTGAGTGGGTGAGTGAGTGGGTGAGTGGGTGAGTGAGTGGGTGGGTCGGTGAGTGGGTGAATGAATGAGTGAGTGGGTGAGTGAGTGGGCGAGTCAATGAGCGAGTAAGCGAGTTGCCTGATCTACCCTCCCCCCCAGTCTAACCCCAGTCTACCCTACACACGCTTACCCCTCCAGTCTCCCCCACTATCCCCCCTAGCCCCCCACTATCCCCCCTAGCCCCCCACTATCCCCCCTAGCCCCCCACTATCCCCCCTAGCGTACCTGCTGGGCGAGGCGCGAGTGAGCGGTCCTCAGCTCGGCGTTCTCCACCCTCAGCTCCTCCACCGCCGCCGCTAACCGCCGCGTCTCCCGCTCCAGTTCGGCCACGCGGGGGTTCGGGGGGGCCCCCCAGGCCCCCGCGCAGTCCACCCCGCCCCCCGCCCAGCGGGGCCCCCCGCGGCCGGGATCGCCGGGGTGACCGGGATCCGGATCGGAGTCTCCTGCCGCTGCCGCCGCTCCGACTCCGACTCCGACTCCACCTCGTCCACCACCGCCAACTCCACCTCCAACTCCGACTCCGACTCCAACTCCACCTCGTCCACCACCGACTCCACCTCCAACTCCACCTCCAACTCCACCTCCACCTCCAACTCCACCTCCAACTCCACCTCCAACTCCACCTCCAACTCCACCTCCACCTCCACCTCCAACTCCACCTTCACCTCCACCTTCAACTCCACCTCCAACTCCACCTCCAACTCCACCTCCAACTGCACCTCCAACTCCACCTCCTACTCCACCTCGTCCACCGCTGCCGCCCCCTCCGCCACCGGGGCAGGAGGAGGAGGAGGAGGAGTGCCTCCTGCCCCCCGCGACCCCGACCGGAGCTCGGACGGCGGCGAAGGCGGTCACGGCCTCCATCGCAGGAGCACGACCAAGCCCGACCTAAACTGACCAAGCCCGACCCAAGCCCGACCACGTCTGACCAAGTCTGACCAAACTCGACCTAAACCCGACCTAAACCCGACCTAAACGAGACCTAAACTCGACCTAAACTCGACCTAAACCCCACCTAAACTCGACCTAAACCCGACCTAAACCCGACCTAAACCCGACCTAAACCCGACCTAAACTCGACCTAAACCCGACCTAAACCCGACCTAAACCCGACCTAAACTCGACCTAAACCCGACCTAAACCCGACCTAAACTTGACCTAAACCCGACCTAAACTCGACCTAAACCCGACCTAAACTCGACCTAAACCCGACCTAAACCCGACCTAAACCCGACCTAAACTCGACCTAAACCCGACCTAAACCCGACCTAAACTTGACCTAAACCCGACCTAAACTCGACCTAAACTCGACCTAAACTCGACCTAAACCCGACCTAAACCCGACCTAAACCCGACCTAAACTCGACCTAAACCCGACCTAAACCCGACCTAAACTCGACCTAAACCCGACCTAAACCCGACCTAAACTTGACCTAAACCCGACCTAAACTCGACCTAAACCCGACCTAAACTCGACCTAAACCCGACCTAAACTCGACCTAAACCCGAACTAAACTCGACCTAAACTCGACCTAAACTCGACCTAAACCCAACCTAAACTCGACCTAAACTCGACCTAAACTCGACCTAAACCCGACCTAAACTCGACCTAAACCCGACCTAAACTTGACCTAAACCCGAGCTAAACTCGACCAAAACTCGACCTAAACTCGACCTAATCTCAACCTAAACCCGACCTAAACCCGACCTAAACTCGACCTAAACTCGACCTAAATTCGACCTAAACTCGACCTAAACTCGACCTAAACTCGACCTAAACCCGACCTAAACTCGACCTAAACCCCACCTAAACCCCACCTAAACCCGACATAAACTCGACCTAAACCCGACCTAAACTCGACCTAAACTCGACCTAAACTCGACCTAAACCCGAACTAAATTCGACCTAAACTCGACCTAAACTCGACCTAAACTCGACCTAAACCCGACCTAAACTCGACCTAAACCCGACCTAAACTCGACCTAAACCCGAACTAAACTCGACCTAAACTCGACCTAAACTCGACCTAAACCCGACCTAAACTCGACCTAAACTCGACCTAAACTCGACCTAAACTCGACCTAAACTCGACCTAAACTCGACCTAAACTCGACCTAAACTCGACCTAAACCCGACCTAAACTCGACCTAAACCCGACCTAAACTCGACCTAAACTCGACCTAAACCCGACCTAAACCCGACCTAAACTCGACCTAAACTCGACCTAAACTCGACCTAAACTCGACCTAAACCCGACCTAAACTCGACCTAAACTCGACCTAAACTCGACCTAAACCCGACATAAACCCGACCTAAACTCGACCTAAACTCGACCTAAACTCGACCTAAACCCGACCTAAACTCGACCTAAACTCGACCTAAACTCGACCTAAACCCGACCTAAACCCGACCTAAACCCGACCTAAACTCGACCTAAACTCGACCTAAACCCGACCAAAACTCGACCTAAACCCGACCTAAACTCGACCTAAACTCGACCTAAACTCGACCTAAACCCGACCTAAACCCGACCTAAACCCGACCTAAACTCGACCTGAACTCGACCTAAACTCGACCTAAACTCGACCTAAACTCGACCTAAACCCGACCTAAACCCGACCTAAACTCGACCTAAACTCGACCTAAACCCGACCTAAACCCGACCTAAACTCGACCTAAACCCGACCTAAACCCGACCTAAACTCGACCTAAACCCGACCTAAACTCGACCTAAACCCGACCTAAACTCGACCTAAACTCGACCTAAACCCGACCTAAACTCGACCTAAACCCCACCTAAACCCGACCTAAACTCGACCTAAACTAGACCTAAACTCGACCTAAACTCGACCTAAACCCGACCTAAACTCGACCTAAACTCGACCTAAACTCGACCTAAACCCGACCTAAACCCGACCTAAACTCGACCTAAACCCGACCTAAACCCGACCTAAACCCGACCTAAACTCGACCTAAACCCGATCTAAACTCGACCTAAACTCGACCTAAACTCGACCTAAACTCGACCTAAACTCGACCTAAACCCGACCTAAACCCGACCTAAACCCGACCTAAACCCGACCTAAACCCGACCTAAACCCGACCTAAACTCGACCTAAACCCGACCTAAACCCGACATAAACCCGACCTAAACTCGACCTAAACTCGACCTAAACCCGACCTAAACCCGACCTAAACCCGACCTAAACCCGACCTAAACCCGACCTAAACCCGACCTAAACTCGACCTAAACTCGACCTAAACCCGACCTAAACCCGACCTAAACTCGACCTAAACCCGACCTAAATCCGACCTAAACTCGACCTAAACCCGACCTAACCCGACCTAAACTCGACCTAAACTCGACCTAAACCCGACCTAAACTCGACCTAAACTCGACCTAAACTCGACCTAAACTCGACCTAAACCCGACCTAAACCCGACCTAAAGTCGACCTAAAGTCGACCTAAAGTCGACCTAAACAGCCAACAACGGCTGGCCGAGCTCAGCTCCACTCCGTGAATAAGCCGCGTGCAGCAGAGCCGAGGCTTTATATAGCCTGAGGGGGTGGGGGGGCGTGGCCAAGCCCACCCTAGGGGGAGGGGGTGGTGGCCACGCCCCAGGCTGTGGGAAGCCACGCCCCAGGCTGTGGGTAGCCACCGCCACGCTAGGGGGGGGTGTGACTACGCCTCACCCCCCCCCCCACCCGAGGGTGGGCGTAGCCACGCCCAGCCTGGGGGGTAGGGATTTGGCCACGCCCAGCCGTTGGGAGGCCACGCCCACTCTCTCCACATCTACCCCGTCACCAATTGGGAGTTGTGGGAATTGAGTGTCAAACACACACACATACACACACATACACACAGATACACACATACACACAAATACACACACACACATACACACACATACACATACACACACATACACACATACACACTCATACACACACATAAACACACACATACACACACACATACACACACACATACACACACATACACACACACACATACACACACATACACACACATACACACATACAGACACACACATACAGACACACACACATACACACACAGGCACACACATACACACACACACCGCCACACACATACACACACACATACACACACATGCACACATACACACACATACACACACACTCACACACAGACTCACTCACACACAGACACACAGACACACGCACAGACACACACACAGGCTCACTCACGCCAGAAAAAATACAAAGATCCCCAATATAGCCTTGACAGACTGTAGGGGCAAGTGCTGTTAGCGAGCACCTATGAAGGCCGGTAACGGTACACGAGGGGGTGGGTGGCCAGCACCACGCCCGACCGTCTTTGTCTCCCCAGTGGCGATGTTTACTACACACCACACCAGGTACTCATTTGAGGCTGATGGGTCGACTGACTGAGATGACTGGCTGATGCACCACCTGTGCCCCCGACTGTGCCAACCTGCTGTGCTTTAGCCACCCGGCGCTCCGCTCGTTGTTGTGAGCGTCGCTCTCCATACGAAAAAAATCAAAAGACAACGATCCCCAGTATAGCCTTAACATACTGTTTGGTAAAGTGTCTTCAGCGAGTAGGGCCTATGAAAGCCGGATGGTCAGCACTACGCCCGGCCGCCTTTGTCTCCCTAGTGGCGATGTTTACTACACACCGCACCAGGTACTCATTTTGAGGCTGAGTCGACCTAGGTGAGGCCCGGGACCGGTTAAGATAATCGTCACTGGTGTTGTCCACAGGCACACACACACACAGATACACACACAGACACACACAGATACATACACACACACATACAGACACACACAGACACACACACAACAACAACCGCCATTCGCCACTAAGTGGCGGTGACGTCACCACGACGCTTGTGCCAGGCTATGTGCACCCTGAGGCCACGTGAAGTGTCGAACGCCCGCTGGCAAGAGGTCACGGGGCAGACCCAGGTGCCACGGGTCGACTGACTGAGATGACTTGCTGATGCACCACCTGTGCCCCCTACTGTGCCAACCTGCTGTGCTTTAGCCACACGGCGCTCCGCTCGTTGTTGTGAGCGTCGCTCCTCCGCCCTCCGTTGTTGTTGGAGGGCGACTACCTCCAACTGCCCAGTAGCATCCTTCACGAGCCTCCTCCACAGAGGCCGAACTTGACACCGCTGGTACCAGTCATCGGCAAGTCCACTCAGCTCCACGTCTTCCTGTACCACATCACTCCATCTCTTCTCTAGCCCGTGCCGCGCCCGCTTAGCCCCCTCAATCTGGCCAAACAAAAGCTGTTACGGCATGCGGTGGCTGGGCATGCGGGCTACATGACCCAGCCATCGCAGCCTTGCCTGCTGGAGGAGCTCACCGATGGGACCCTGCCCAGATCTTTCAAGGATTTGTGAGCTCCTCACACAATCCAGTCTGGTTAAACCCAGGATGCATCGTAGGCAGGCCAGCCTAAATGTTTCCAACCGGCGAAGATGTTCCATTAGCGGGGTCCACGTTTCGCAAGCGTAGAGAAGGGAGGGAATGACCGTGGCCGAGAAGACCTGAAGCTTAGTGCGGAGCGACAGACCAGGTAGCTTCCACACAGCGTTACGCAACCGATGAAAAGATATTGCCGCTCGACTGATTCGGAGTGAGACCTCTGCTGTTAAACTGGAGTCGGTCATAAGCACACTGCCCAGGTTTGGGAAACTCTCCACTCTCTCCACAACTGACCCATCACCGATTGGGAGTTGTGAGGGTGGAGTGTCCGATGGTACAAAATACCCAGGCAGGTGCTTAGTTTTGGTGGGGTTGATGGTAAGGCCCCATCTCTTAGTAGCACGCTCCAGTCTCAACAGC